ACATTCCATTTTTTGTTTTAATGTTTTGATTTTAGAAAACGTTTTTAAGAGGAGTAACTTAAATAAATTTTCTCAACGCTTCCATATATGCTTCTGCACATTTCCACGACATATAACGAAATTTACTGACGACGAGACGAGCATTAGAGAGACAATATTGCTATATACGGAGGAGAGGGGGGGGGGGGGGAAATAGCTCCTATAACATCCCTATACATCACAGGGAATCAACACCAGTTGATTGACAGTTGAGAGGCGGGACCAAAGAGCCAAAGCTCAACCCCCGCAAGCACAATTAGGTGAGTACACGGCCCAGTCATTAGTTCATTTATTATGCACCCCATACCCATCTTGTGGGGCGGTAGTGGAAAGGGTTACAGTGGCACATAATGGGCTCAGGGACTGAAATTCTCATTGTCGGGGACAGGAAGACTACCAGGGTCTCTATCGCTAGCCTCCCTGGGCCTGACAGCTGAGTGGACAGCGCTCGGGATTCGTAGGTCCTGAGGTTCCGAGTTCGATCCCCGGTGGAGGCGGAAACAAATGGGCAGAATTTCTTTCACTCTGATGCCTCCTTATTCACCTAGCAGTAAATAGGTACCTGGGAGTTAGACAGCTGCTACGGGCTGCTGTCAAGGGGGGGGGGGTGTAACAAAAAAGGAGGCCTGGTCGAGGACCGGGCCGCATGGACGGTAAGCCCCGAAATCATCTCAAGATAACTTCCCGCTTCTGATCTTGCCAAGATGCAACCCAAAACTGCTGCCCAACTATCCGGTACCCACGCCCAACCACTTTGGCTGAACGGTAGAGCGACGGTCTCGCTTCATGCAGGTCGGCGTTCAATCCCCGACCGTCCACAAGTGGTTGGGCACCATTCCTCCCCGCCAGTCCCGTCCCAAATCCTTATCCTGACTCCTTCACAGTGCTATATAGTCGTAATGGCTTGGCGCTTTCCCCCTGATAGTTCCTTTCAACCATTGCTATACGTCCTGCCCGGGCAGCGAACCCGGGCCCTTAATCGGTTGTATGTCAAGAATGACGGCCACTGCGCTACAGGACCTGCACTCTGTATACAGTATCTAAGGATAGGTAGACTGACTATGATTTACCTACCAAACTTTTCGTATAATGTCATCATATTATACTTTAACCATACATTCTCTACCATCATTCTCCTGCATCATACATTCTCAATCATTCTATTTCATTATACATTCATTCTCAATCTCGTTCTTCATACATTCGCTTATCATCATGAGTGATGAATTAGTTATCGTCCTTTCGCTGTCCCCGTCTCAATACTCAGAAAGATCACAACATTCTTTATTTGGTTATCTTGGTTTGAGATCTTAAAAGCTAAGACTACGTGCTGAAGCGCAGGGTCATGGCTCCGGGGTACTGGGGTCTTTAAGGTGGGCACTGGGGTCTTTAAGGTGGGCACTAGGGTCTTTAAGGTGGGCACTGGGGTCCTTAAAGTGGGCACTAAGGTCTTGAAAGAGGGCACTGGGGTCTTCAAGGGGGCACTGGAATACATGGAAGTCAATCTCCATCGCCTTGAAAATGCTTTACCTTACCAAGATCTATCTCACTTACAAGGTGCAGCCAATCACACCGTGTCGTTTAGTCGAGAAGAACTTAAGTGTTAAGTGTGAACTTAAGTGTGACCATAAAAGCTACGAGCAAATCGCCAACTATAATTATAGCCGTGAACTATAGCACACAGCACTAAAAGAGAGATCAGATGGCGATCTAATCAAGTGACTCACAACACTATCTAACTCCCTGATACGAGGCGAAGCACAGAAACCGATAAGGCGACGCTTACCAAACGCGGACGCAATCACAGCCCGCAGAAAAACAATGTTCCAGTGATATAATGATATGATGAAGGGCTCTTCAGAGAGGGAGGGAGCGAGGGCGTGTCGAGATGAATGTGTCGGGATGATATGCATGTTTACCCATTACTGTGGTACCCGCTATCTAACAACCAGAGTCATAGCGTTACTTGTAAGCTCCTAAGAAAATAACGGCGCTGCGGTATTGGGAGTTTGTGCTGGGAGGAAGGTAGTGGTTTCATGGGGAATGGTTAACGTTAATTATCTGGTCGTTGGTGGTTTCACGTGGTTCTTAATTAAAATAACATTTGAAGAACATTTATGAAAAAAACTGTGAAGGAATATTCATTGAATGACATGCTGAAATTATTCACAAAATAGAATTACCAAATGAAAATATAGTTAACCCAAAGAGGACAGCTATTAAAATTGACAGAGAGAGAGAGAGAGAGAGAGATAATGGGTGTTGTACCTCAAGGGTCAATATTAGGGCCCATCGTGTTCCTAATATACATAAACGATCTAACAGAAGAACTAATTCATTCTTATCAATGTTTGATGACGATGCTAAGCTACTGAGACGAATTAGAACTGAGAAAGACTGCAATACAATGCGAGATGAACTAGACAATCTCGAGAGATGGGATGGGACATGACTAAGGGTATCTAAGGGTATGGGTAGGATTCTAAGGATATGAGGGCGGGATTTGGAGAAACAAGGGCGCGGATGCAGAAGAGAATTAAGAGAAACATCCCATTTATGAGACATAGGAGTGGACATAGAGAGGTCCACTCCGCCAGCGCCACACATCAACACAATAACATCAGCAGCATATGCCATACTGGTAAACATCCGGTTATCCTTCGGGAACTTTGACAAAGATCCCTTCTGAGAACCATATACATCCTTCGGGAGTCCCATTCTGGACATGAACGCTACGAATGGCCACAAGATTAGCAAACGCTGTTCAATATCAACGCAGCGTCTGTTCAAAATAGATCTTGCTTAACAAATCCGTTCACATTTTTGGAAACGCCAACCAGCTATTCTACGACTTCTAGTAGATGTAATATACACCTACTTTGGTAAAAATTTTGATAAGGTACTACATGAAAGTCTAGCAAGGAAATTACAAACTCATGGAATAAATGGTAGAATGCTAGACTTGATAAAACAATGGTTAAGAGAAAGAATACTAAGGGGAGTGCTAAACGGGAATGAATATAACTAGAGAAATGTGGTGAATGGGGATACCAAGTTCACTGTGTTGGGGTACCAAGTTCACTGAGTGGGGGGTACCAAGTTCACTGAATGGGGGTACCAAGTTCACTGAATGGGGGGTACCAAGTTCACTGAGTGGAGTACCAAGTTCACTGAGTGGAGTACCAAGTTCACTGAGTGGAGTACCAAGTTCACTGAATGGGAGTACCAAGTTCACTGAGTGGAGTACCAAATGGAGACCTTCTGTTGCCAACCTTTTTTTTATCACATGACTAACATAGCTCAGAATATTACCAACCACATCATCAAATTTCCAGATAACACTTCAAAGATTTATGATAAAATAGGAAGTGAAAATGATACTGAAGCCTTACAAAAAGATCTCCACGAGCTCCACAAATGGGCAGATGACTGGCAAATGCTTGTAGATCTCCAAAAAAAATGCAAGACCTTGCTTGTGAGGGCATAACCCACGTCACAGCCACCAAATTAACAACATTACCTTGCAGCAAATTGATGAAGAAAAGGACCTTGGAGGCTGAATTACATAACAAGTGACAGCTACAGTAAAAAATTAATGTAGAAAGCAAACCAAACCCTAGGAATCATCAAGCAAACTTTTGACTTAAAGCAAATGAAGGTAGTTATACAACTGTGTATTATATATATATATATATAATATATTATATATATATATATATATATATATATATATATATATATATATATATTATATATATATAATATATACTACGTAGTAATAAGTACTACGTACCTAGTAGCCAGAACGCACTTTTCAGCCTACTATGCAAGGCCCGGTTTGCCTAATAAGCCAAGTTTTCATGAATTAATTGTTTTTCGACTACCTAACCTACCTAACCTAACCTAACTTTTTCGGCTACCTAACCTAACCTAACCTATAAAGATAGGTTAGGTTAGGTTAGGTAGGGTTGATTAGGTTCGGTCATATATCTACGTTAATTTTAACTCCAATAAAAAACAATTGACCTCATACATAATGAAATGGGTAGCTTTATCATTTCATAAGAAAAAAATAGAGAAAATATATTAATTCAGGAAAATTTGGCTTATTAGGCAAATCGGGCCTTGCATAATAGGCTGAGAAGTGCGTTCTGGCTACTAGGTACGACATATATATATATATATATATATATATATATATATATATATATATATATATATATATATATATATATATATATATATATACACACACACACACATGCACGGAGACTTCATTACACACAAATCACAATAGCGTGATGGATCTAATAAACAAATCCACAAGGGATTTGTGTCGATTAAGGCAGCGTCTGGGATGCTCTAGGATGTAGGTTCGAACCCTCGTCACGGCCCTTGTGGACCTGTTCACAGAGACTTCATCTTCAGAAAGGTCGCCGCTTTGGAGAAAGTTCAACACCGCGCTAAACTTACTCTAAAACTCTAAACTTACTATCCCAGGGACTTGAACTTTGTCACAGGTCTAGTGACTAGCCACTAGTGACTTTGTCGTCTACCCAGGGACGAAAACTTTGTCACAGGTCTAGTACATCAAGATGACACAGCGGTGATGAAGCACTTGCCGTGTCATGCTTACTCCACGGTGTCCACAGCGCCCCACAGGAACACCACTGCCACAATGCTCTCATTATTATGGCTGTTATTTTCATTGTGAGTATTCCTGTTATTCCCTTTGTTATTATTAGTATTATTATTTATTATTATTTGTATTATTATTATGATTGTTCCTTTCTGAATATTGCTTCTGGTTCCTCTTCTCTCTTTTCCTCTGCTTTTGCTCCTCATCCTTTTCTTCCATTTCCTTATCTCGCTTCGCCTGTTCCTTCTCTTCCCTCTTTACTCTCTCCTTCATCTTCCGTCTTCCATTTCCCAGGGTCATCATTACGCTGGAGCCGGCCAGCCAATCAGGTACCTTCACGTGTGGTGGGGCAGGGAGGGAGGCAGAGGCGGGAACCAGAGACTCATAGATAAAGACTTATCAGAGAGTCATCTCTGCCCAGTCGCTCCCAGCCTCCGCCACAGGCAACACCGACCCTCTGTCATCTCCCGTCTCACTACAGTAAGTCTATTTGTCTGCTGAGGGTCATTGTTACTTTTTTGACCATGTCGTTCACCTTGAGGATCTTGTATGCCGTTAATATGTCTCAGGGATTTTGACTGTATGTATGGTGAAGTTCGGCTCCATTTTATGCTTATAGTTGAAGCCTCGTAGTTCTGGTAGGAGATGCGTACTGATAGACTTTTTCCAAGTTGCATGTTTCCGAAGGTTTCAGTTTCACTCTAGGTTCATGCTGCTATGGCGGCGGTGTGTCCACTCACAGGATGAGTGACGCTGCCCAATAAAACTTAGAAAAATAAAAACTCTACGCTGACATACTCCAAAATGCCCCCCCCCCATTGTATACTCACCTAGTTGTGCTTGCGGGGGTTAAACTTTGGCTCTTTGGTCCCGCCTCGAATGTGTATGTGGGTGTGTAAGTGTTTACGTCAAGGTACACAATATTTACTCATTCCTCACGTTCCTCTGGCACTGCTGCCACCCACAGGTTATATTGTGGTTCGATCATAGTTGTTCTTTAGTCGGTTTTGTTCCGAATTTATATTTGTTCATAAGTCATATTTGTTAAGATTTCATGGTTGTTCATGTTATATTTCCTGGGCAATAACCATGAGCCAGATTCCCGAAGCAGTTACGCAAGTACTTACGAACGTGTACATCTTTCCTCAATCTTTGACGGCTTTGGTTACATTTATTAAACAGTTTACAAGCATGAAAACTTGCCAATCAACTGTTGTTATTGTTATAAACAGCCTCCTGGTGCTTCGGAGCTCATTAACTGTTTAATAATTGTAAACAAAGCCGCCAAAGATTGAGAAAAGATGGACAGGTTCGTAAGTGCTTGCGTAACTGCTTCGTGAATCTGGCCCCATGTCTACACCTCTCCCATAATGTGACCTCCCCACAGCCCCACACTCAAGCAACCGATCCTTCATCACTCCCAAAACCTCCACCTTCAAAATCCTTGCAACCTGTCCACGTCCCTCGCACAACTTCCACAACCCTGACCTTCCACTGTAACAACATTCACAACCCGCTATACACATCCGCCTCACGCCAGAACTATCATACAAGACTGAGCCTGACATTCACACACTCCACAGCCCCGCTCCTGTGCCGGGTAAGTCCACCACGGGCTCGTCATAACCCGTGCTACTTGAAACTTTTTGTTCCCAGTAGTTGAATCTTAAACAACATTCCCATACTACCCCACAGAGCCGTCACGAGCACCATGCCGGAATACAAGCTGGTGTACTTCAACGGAAGGGGCCGCGCCGAGCTCACTCGCTGGATCTTCGCCTACGGCGGTATCCCCTACATCGACGAGCGTTACGAGAAGGAAGAATGGCCCGAAAAGAAGAAGAGTGAGAGTTCTGATCCAACTTTTGTTCATATTTTAGCGGAAATTTGCCTAATCATTACAACACTTATTCATAAGTTACCACGTATGAGCATCATAAGTTACCTTCTGCAGTTGCCTTGATTTCTGTGTTCCAATGTTCTCAAAGAGATAGCCTAAGCTACTCTATTTCCACCTTCGTGCGTTCCGTTCCGCTTCTGCCATACTGGCTTATGATTTTCTTCTCTAACTAATGTTATTGTGGGTATGTTGCCCGCAGCCATCTCCGGGGGCAAGCTGCCAGTGCTGATTGTTGACGGGAAGACACTGCCCCAGTCCCTGGCCATCGCCCGCTTTGCCGCCAAGAAGGCGGGTATCGTCCCCGACGACGACCTCGAGGCCGCCTACTGCGACGCTCTGGCGGACACACTCTTCGAACTCATACCGGAGGCGTACAAGATTCTGTAGGTGTTGTATTGTCTGGTAAATCAAGTATATATACACCTAATACACGATACCCATATACACACACACATACACACACAGGGATAGGAAAGTGAAAGAAAATTCACTTTCGCAGAGTGGTAGACGGTTGGAACAAGTTAGGTGAGAAGGTGGTGGAGGCCAAGACCGTCAGTAGTTTCAAAGCGTTAAATGACAAAGAGTGCTGGGAAGACGGGACACCACGAGCGTAGCTCTCTTCCTGTAACTACACTTAGGTAATTACACACACACACACACAGGTCCTTATAAACCTATACAGAATAATCTATAATGCTTCACTGTGTCAGGGGACAGGAAGGCAGAGTGTATTCATACACATAATATTTTAGAAAAGACCTGGGTAATCTGAGCAAAAAATATACATTCACATGTATATTTTAACATGTGAAAATATAGTTGCACATTATATTTTCCTCCATAAAGAACATGTTGCTTAACACAAACTCATATTAAGAGCCACAAGTTTAACGCAACTGATGTTTTAGGATGTCAGAGAAGAGCGAGGAGGAGAAGAAGAAGCTGCTTAGGGAAGAGTTCTTCCCAGATAAGGTCTACCCAATCACAACTCGTCTTGAGAAGAGATTCGAGGAGAAGCAGTGGTTTGTGGCAGATAAGGTCAGTGCTGGCCAGAGCCATCCTTAGTTCTTAGTTCTTTGGGGGTCCTTAGTTCTTAGGGATCCTTAGTTCTTAGGGGTCTACCAGACACTGCCAAGGGCCTACCAGACACGGTCAAGGCCTACCAGACACGGTCAAGGCCTACCAGGCACTGTCAAGTGCCTACCAGACACGGTCAAGTGCCTACCAGGCACGGTCAAGGTCTACCAGACACGATCAAGGCCCTACCAGACACGGTCAAGGGCTTACCAGACACGGTCAAGGGCCTACCAGACACGGTCAAGGGCCTACCAGACACGGTCAAGGGCCTACCAGACACGGTCAAGGGCCTACCAGACACGGTCAAGGGCCTACCAGACACGGTCAAGGGCCTACCAGACACGGTCAAGGGCCTACCAGACACGGTCAAGGGCCTACCAGACACGGTCAAGGGCCTACCAGGCACGGTCAAGGGCCTACCAAGCACGGTCAAAGCCTACCAGGCACCGTCAAGGCCTACCAGGCACGGTCAAGGCCTACCAAGCACGGTCAAAGCCTACCAGGCACGGTCAAGGCCTACCAGGCACGGCCAAGGCCTACCAAGCACGGTCAAGGCCTACCAGGCACGGTCAAGGCCTACCAAGCACGGTCAAGGCCTACCAGGCACCGTCAAGGCCTACCAGGCACGGTCAAGGGCCTACCAGGCACGGTCAAGGTAAGGACCTACCAGACAAAGTCAGCTGTACTTCACAAAGTCAATGCCTATTGCAGCCTTTGTTCTTCACCCGACACTGCTCACCATAGCCCGTGCTACTGGCAACTTTTTGTTCAGAGTAACTGAATCAAAAACAACAACGGCCACTAGGACCAAACAGCACGTGGAAGGGCTATAAGGACAGGATAGGCACTGGGATATTAGAACAGGATAGAATCTGGGATAGGGAAAGAGTGGAGGTCTATAATCAACCTTTATTTCACCTTAACAGATCACTTGGGCGGACCTAGCCATCGGCATGGTCATAGGAGCTATGCTGAGGGTCGACAGCGAGAGTTTCGACAAGTTCCCGGCGCTGGTGGCCCATGTCAACAAAGTCCAAGATCTTCCCAAAATCAAAGAATGGCTGGAAAAACGTCCAAAAACCAAATTCTAGAAGCCTACTCCATGAACGTCCAAAAACCAAATTCTAGAAGCCTACTCTATTGAACGTCCAGCAACCAACTCCCTCCCGGCAGTCTCCAGAACAAATACACAAAAATGATTTTTTCGACATTTATTCCAATAGGCATTTTTTGAGAGCTGATTTTAAGGTTAAAAGTCCTGCAGCCTACTGCTATAATGTTGTTCACTCGACGGCCACAGAGCACTGCTGACCATTGGCACCATTGCTCTAGAAGAATGTCTATCTAATCCACCTCTTCTATTTGTCTAAATACTAGCACTATAAAGTAAACATTGACGCGATATTACCCGGAGTGGACCTCAAACACCATCTACTAACTACTATTTATTTTGATATTAGCACTACAAGGTGAGCACTAAAGTGGTGTACTTACATTTGATCTTGAAAATGACACCAGTAGAATACCCGGAAAGTTGAGCCAGAATTAGACTATAGTCAAGAAAATCAATTACATGCTATGAAATTGGTTTAAAATGTGAAACCTAAACCAAAATGATATACTATACTGTATTTGTGATCAAAAATAAACCACACTAATAAAAGTTTTGTATAATAAAAATGTTCATTGTCTAACAACTTGAATATTAAATTATATATTTGTTTTACTTTCAGATATACTGTAGATTATTTTTATATTTCAGTTATTAACTTATTTATGATCAGAGGTGTTTGAATTCGATTAGCTGCAGGGATAGAGGAATAACAGCATTTATTAATTTATTGACTTTTATTTTATCTATATATATACCTGCAAGGAGGTATAATAATTTGTGAAAGTGCGTATGACGGTAATTAAGGAAAGGATCCTACACACTGAAATTGGTCTATCGAATCATAGCCGTAGATACATCTGTGTTTGGTGGAGCAAAGCCCGCCCAACCTGTCCTTTTAAAAAGAACGTAGTTTTTTACCGTTTGCCCGTATGGCCGAATATGGACGAAATTTGAAAATTAAAAAAAAAATTAATATAAATTTGGGATTTTTTTTCAACAACAGTAAGTTAAGGGTCCTCTGATAGGTTAGGTGGGCAGGAAATTCTCATAAAGTTTCAAAACGTTATGAAAAACGTTAATGGAAAGAATCCTTTTCTAAGCTTGCCGAGTAAGCCGGACGACTCAAACAGAAAACGGAACAGTACATCACTTTTGTGAGTCGATTTCATTTCAAATTACGTCCAAATTTGGCCATAGCGCCGCGCATACCTGCGAAAAGTGACGTTATTTTTAAGAGGGCGGGTTGTACACAACACGTCGAAGAGCACTAACCCAAGAGCAGGAAGAAATAGGAACAGCTAACAGGAAGTCCCCAGCATGAAAGGCTTGTACAGCGAGGTGGTGTACTTTAGCTTTCCCAGAAGCTGCCTCTACCATTGTTAAGGCAATGTTCTCCACTATAGAGCTATCAGAGTGGCTCTGTTTACAATCATCTGGAATAAGTTACTCCGGGTGAATGGCCTACAGGAATGCCCAACTAGCTGGCTACCTCAATGAACTTCAATGATCATGAATCCCAGTGGAATCTCTTAAATGCTCTGACAGGATCTCTAATTCACTAGGAGCACTGCTTGTGGATCGGAATACAGATAATGCTATTTGTATAGTCTTTCGTATACCTACATACTACTGAGTATAACCGGGTGTTGCTCTCAGAAGTTCGTAAAACTGATTTTTTTAGCTGTTCAAACAGAGTTTGCACCCTTGGCAATAGGCAAATTTGGCAAAGCCAGGTACCTTGTGAGGAGGTGCAAAACATAGTGGGCACCAAAAACACATATTCCTTCTTTACATTCTTAAGTCGTTTAGTCTTTCTTTGAGGACCACAACGAGGGCATTCGAACCCGGGATTCCTGATTGCGAGTCGAGAACGAGTTCAACGTTCTATCACTTTAATGACATTTTTCAGAACCACACGAAAACTACCAGGAATCTCCTTGGACGCAAAGACTCCTACAGAACAATTGATTTAAAATAATCTCATTACCACTTGCAGGTAATATTTTTCTCAACTCTATTTCTTCCTTTTATATTTGCAGCGACACCACTTTTAATTTGTATGCAAATAAACCAATCCCATCTGTATTTTCCAACTACATAATCTTTCAGCGCTGAATATGTTTTAACTCCGTTGTGTTTGATTGTAAAGTCACACACAGCCATGCAGTCTTGCAAAAATTCATTTTCCTATAAATCTGTCACAAAGCTGTGCTACATAATTAGATGTGTTCTCGTCAAATTGGACAACAAATTACCCAACTGATTGTTGACGAAACCAGCCGAGATTCTAAATTCTCTACAGCCTACAATAATATATATATCTTCAGAGACACTGTTGTACCATAGAAAATTATCTTAAATTGTACTCACCATATCAAGGGTGGCTGTAAGGAGACATTTTCAGCAACTATGTAGGGGTAGTTTTTCTTAATGCGTTGTCATCAGCCCGTCCTCAGGGTAAAGTCATTACACCCTGACATCAACCTCACTCTCACATCAACTGGATAGTTGTCTAAATATTTGTGATGGTCTGAAAGTATGTTACGGTTCCAATAATAGTCTACTTGTAAAGTGGCAATTAAACCTTTTTCCTAAACAGATAATAGACTTAAGTTATAACGGTATTGTATTATAAATCGATGATCTAAAATGTAAATGTCTATATTAAACTCATTTTCTATAATACGGTTTTCTTTAATGTGATATTCTAGGCGATACTCAGTTTCCAAATTTCATATTTCACATGTTTAAGATTAATGCACTGTAATAGCCTAAGCTAATCTAACCCAATCCAGCCTAACCTAACCTTAATCTACCCTAACAATGGACAAGGAGTAGACAATAGTACTAATTATGTAGAAGTTTTGAAGTGATTACCTGAAGGGAACAAACCCTCAAGACAGGTTGCTTGCGATATGCAACTATGATGCCAGTTGTGCCCTTTTCAGATTCAGATTCAGATTCAGATGTTTATTCAGGTAAGGTATATACATACAAGTGATGTTACATTAATGGATTGATATATAGATAGAGCTAGTACATACAATGCCTAAAGCCACTATTACGCAATGCGTTTCGGGCAAGAAAACATTAATATCTAGAACTTAATACTAATTGAGCATAAAGAATAAAAGATGTTGAGAACAAATACAAATAAAGATAAAAAAAAGGGGGAACATGACTGAAAAAGCAGCACAAATACAATAGGTTGACAATAGGTTTTGTTCTGAGTAGCTGAATCTTAAACAACAACAGTGGGAGCAGGTGTAGGGGATCAGAGAGGTGTAACAGCAACACTGAAGAAAAAGGAGTGTAAGACAATCTACCTGGTAAGTGTGGACGAAGGAGGAGCGTCTCAGGAGGCCACGACCTCCTGAAGGTGCTGGAATAGCAGTCCAGTGAATAAACTTATAAATCCTTCACCCACGACCTCTGCTCCAATCCTACCTCTTTAAATACTTCACACCACATACAACAAATACCAGTAATTTCCAACAGAACCTAACCACCTAAGTTAAGCGTAAGTATTCGAGACATTGTAGCAAATAAGACAATGTTTACCTGTGGGGGTGAGCAGCTTTTCATTTATTTATTTATATACAAGAAGGTATATTGAGTTTGTGAGAATACATAGCATAGTATTTACAATCTTGTAAAGCCTCTAGTACGCGCAGCGTTTCGGGCAGAGTGGTTAAATTAAGGTTAAATTAATAAATGATAATAAATCAATGTTAAATTAAGAGTGGTTAATTTAGTAAAAACTTGTGTAGTAACTGAAATTCGTTTACATTTCTTTGGAATATTCAAGTGGTTTGTGTCGGGGTTCTGCATGTATTGCTTTGGTGCCATTTTAGTTTTAAAAGTTTCAAACTTTAATTTGCAACAATGAGAGAGTAAGAACAAAGAAGGCAGGCACAGGGTGGGAGCAGACAGCCCCGCTCCTGTGTCAGGTAAGTCCACTACGGGCTCACCATAGCCCGTGCTACTTGGAACTTTTGTTCTGAGTAGCTGAATCTTAAACAACAACAGTGGGAGCAGGTGTAGGGGATCAGAGAGGTGTAACAGCAACACTGAAGAAAAAGGAGTGTAAGACAATCTACCTGGTAAGTGTGGACGAAGGAGGAGCGTCTCAGGAGGCCACGACCTCCTGAAGGTGCTGGTATAGCAGTCCAGTGAATAAACTTATAAATCCTTCACCCACGACCTCTGCTCCAATCCTACCTCTTTAAATACTTCACCCCACATACAACAAATACCAGTAATTTCCAACAAAACCTAACCACCTAAGTTAAGCGTAAGTATTCGAGACATTGTAGCAAATAAGACAATGTTTACCTGTGGGGGTGAGCAGCTGGGTCAACAGGCGGTGGGTAACGCGCCCAACCATTTCTCCTCCGGCCGAAATTTTAGATTGAATTTCTGTTATTACTAGGAAATGTAGATGTTTATCTCTCAGAATGTTTGGTAATATGTTTATTGTTTGTGATGTGTGTCTATGTATGTATTAACACGATGTACTGAACGGGGTGAGAATAGCTTGAGCTACCTCATCCCTTTGTGTGGATTTTACCTCAATAAACTTATTTCAATTTCTGTTATTACTGTGCACTTAGTCATTATCGTTGCAGCAAAATTAAGTTTGAAACGGGCAACACTTATGTACAGTATAAATAATTCAATAGTATTATTAATAATAATGCTTATTTAGGGGGAAAAAATACACGTAGACAGACATCTTTGCTATAAGATGTATGTCTGTAATTTAACAGACATTCATGGGGAATTTTTTTTTCATAATTTTAACAAACAATATTCATCACAAAGCTTATTTATATTTCTAACTGCTACAGAATGGAACTGACTGTTGTTATAGATTCAGCTACTCGGAACAAGTTCCAAGTAGCACAGGCTATGGTGAGCCCGTAGTGGACTTACCTGGCACAGGAGCGGGGCAAGTAGCACACAGGCTATGGTGAGCCCGTAGTGGACTTACCTGGCACAGGAGCGGGGCAAGTAGCACGGGCTATGGTGAGCCCGTAGTGGACTTACCTGGTACAGGAGCGGGGCAAGTAGCACAGGCTATGGTGAGCCCGTAGCTTACCTGGCACAGGAGCGGGGCAAGTAGCACAGGCTATGGTGAGCCCGTAGTGGACTTACCTGGCACAGGAGCGGGGCAAGTAGCACGGGCTATGGTGAGCCCGTAGCTTACCTGGCACAGGAGCGGGGCAAGTAGCACGGGCTATGGTGAGCCCGTAGTGGACTTACCTGGCACAGGAGCGGGGCAAGTAGCACGGGCTATGGTGAGCCCGTAGTGGACTTACCTGGCACAGGAGCGGGGCAAGTAGCACGGGCTATGGTGAGCCCGTAGTGGACTTACCTGGCACAGGAGCGGGGCTGTGGAACTGACTGGATTGATGATGAAGATTAAGCCACCCAAAAGGTGACACGGGCACGAATAGCCCGTAAGTGATGGCCCTTTTGAGCCATCATCTATTGATACTGGATATCTGTGGAGGTGCGACTGCACCCTGCGTGACGGGAGATGTCTCCCCAACTGACTGGAATGTTGTTGTTGTTTTAGATTCAGCTACTCGGAACA